TTGGGGAAGGGGCAGTTGCAAGGGCAGAAAGTGGATATGGAGGGACAGGGAGATGAGTGGGACAGTGGGTTTACCATGTGAAATTCACACACACACACACACACACACACACACACACACACACACACAGTCAACAAAATGTTAAAAAAAAAACCAAAACAAAAACCCAAACCATAGGCAGGATGGAACTGGGCAGCCATAAAGGACCCATGTGGCTCTGCTAGCCAGCCCTTCCTTAGAGGGGTCACCAACAGTCTCCATGCTCATTACCCCAAAAGCCTTCTTTCTCTTAAGAAAAGCCATGTCCTTTGGGCGAGAAGCTAATATTAGTATCAGTGTTGACAGTTGCGGCCATTTCTCAGAGCCTCTACCTGTTCTCTGGAGGCATGTGGAAAGGCGTGAGTTCTGCTCCCAGAAACCATGTTCTGTGTCTCATAACTTTCTGAAATCTGGCTCCAGGGAGACCCGACACCCGGCACCTGCACCTCATGTACACTTGCCCCTTCTCCTGTTGTTGAAAATTTTAATTTATAGTTTTTAAGGAATGAACTTCCATGTGCTGTGTGCCAGACTTTCAGGGTTCCGAGGGAGAGGAAAAAACAAAACAAACAAACAAACAAACAAACAAAAAACAAAAAAACAAAAAAACAAAAAAACCAAAACAAAACATAGATTGGTCACAAGTGACTCAGCAAAAAGCCCCAAAGAATGTGGCAGTCGAATGGGTTTCATTGGGTGTTTTTCTACAGGAAGTCAAGTGTTAAAACGTAAACCCAAGGCTGAATATTTCAAGACTCAGGGAGCTCACCTGTCACCCAGGATGTTCTTGGATCACACAGCATGCTGATGTCTTCTGACGCACATTCTGGGAAATTCTGAACTCTGTGTCTGTCTGGGAACAAAAAAAAATTCCCAGAAGGACCTATGTCTGCAGAAACTGATGGACCAACTGGAATTTCAGTACTGTGGAGAGAGTGGAGTTTTGGAGGTTCGAAGGCTAAATACCTTATCTTGGGCTAGTTTTAGCTTCCAGAACAGCCATTCCTTGGCCCACTCTGAATCTAAACTAACACCTTGTGAGAATAACCAAAGGCCTCTCAGAAGCTATTAACTTAGTGAATACTATCATCCACAACCCAAGAGCTAAGAATGTCAACAGAAAGCATCTCGGGCCTATCACCCTCTGCCCCATATCTCTCGTTCTACCCACCTCTCTGGTGTACACACCAATGTATTTCAAGCTTGCCTTGACTTATGACTCTGTTCTGCAACACTATAAAAACTCCACGAAGCTGCATCCATGCTGGAACATGGACTCTGGGGTAACCAGACTCTGTGTTCCTGGGCCATGACCATTCATTCAAAGCAGCTCCAGAATAAACTACCCCTTTTTCTATTTAAGAAGATAACTGTTTTTTGTTTGTTTTTTTTTAAAATGTCCATGTATTTTAAATGATGAGATTTACTTTTCAAGTTCTGAAGTCTAGGATATCCAAGACTGATTTATTTTCCGGAGAAGACCTTTCTGGCTTCTATATGGTCACCTTGTCCCTGTGTCCCTATACGGCCTCAAGGGAAAAATAACTCTCTGGCATTCATTTGCCTGTTAGGCTTCCACCCTTGTATTCTTACTTAACGCTCTTACCTCTGTATAGACTCTGTCTTCATATATAGCTACAGACAGTTAGGACATCAGCCCATGGATTTGAATTGGAGTAATTCAGCACATGGCAGTATTATTTCCCAAAGATCAGAGGGAGAGCTTTGGGTTGCAGAGGAGGAGGAGCTGTGTGAATGTATAAAGAGTGGACAAGGTCTCGATGTCTTTATGTGTGCTGTTGACATTGGCACAGCCGCCTCAAGCAACACTGTCTCAGACCGATGGGAATTTGGCAAGGCCTTCTCCCAGGATGAAGCTTAGGGAGATGGTAAAGCCTTCCTTTGGTCCAAGTGCAAATATTGGCAGTGTGTACAAAATCTAGCAAGTGAAGCATCTTCTTCCTGTTTAGTGCCGTAGGCTGCTCACCTACAGAGACCTTTTACTGAGTCCAGCCGGCCTCACCCCATGCCCCATGTGTGGTACGTGATATATATATATATGTGTGTGTGTGTGTGTGTGTGTGTGTGTGTGTGTGTGTGTAGTTGCTGCATAGTTGGTATGGTTCTCTCACAGTGTGTAGGGCCCGCCTGCTCCCAGAGTTTTCTGCACACTTGTCTTCCGTTCTTTCATTCCCTCACTGGCCCAGTCAGGTTTCCAGGGCCAAGCTGTGCAAGTCTCAGCAGAGAGCTGTTGCGATTGACCATGGACGGCCCCCCCTTTCATTATCGTTCTTAAAGTAATTAAGCTCGAAGCACAGCTCTCCACATCACAGCTCCTAGGTGGATTCGTGGCTCATCTGAATCAGACTTGGTTCTTTTCACGGATTGTGTTTGGACTTAAAAATTTTAGTGCTGTCCACATTACTGAAGCAGGATGGACAAAGAAAAGGCTGTCTTTTATGTCGGCAGGGATGCTGCCACAAAAAAGGGAGAAAGTCGAAGGACTCCAAATGACTATGGCAAACCATTCTCCCACAAAATCCTTGAACACTTTTAAAGTCTGAATATTTGTTTAGCTTCTGTAGGAGTATAGATTTTTGCATGTTTATCCTATATTATATGTCTAATAACCACTTATGAATGAGTATATATACCATGTATGTCTTTCTGCTTCTGGGATACCTCACTCAGGATTATCTTTTCTAGTTCCCACCATTTGCCTGCAAATTTCATGATTTCCTTGTTTTTAATTGGTGGATAGTATTCCATTGTGTAAATGTACCACAATTTCTGCATCCATTCCTCAGTTGAGGGACATCTGGGTTGTTTCCAGATTCTGGCTGTTTCAAATAGAGCTGCTACCAACATGGTTGAGCAAATGTCCTTGTATAGTTGAGTATATTTCAGATATATGCCTAGGAGTGGTATGGCTGGATCTTGAGGTAGCACTATTCCTAAATGTCTGAGAAAGCACCAGATTGATTTCCAAAGTGGTTGTACAAGTTTACATGCCCACCAGCAATGGAGGAGGGTTCATCTTTCTCCACATCCTCTCCAGCATATGTTGTCACTTGAGTTTTTGATTTTAGCCATTCTGATGGGTGTAAGGTGAAATCTCAGGGTCGTTTTGATTTGCATCTCACTGATGACTAAGGATGTTGTGAGTATGTATGTATGTATGTGTGTGTGTGTATATATATATATATATATGTATGTATGTATATATATTTATGAGTGTATGTATGTGTGTATATATATGTATGTGTGTGTGTGATGTATGCATGTGTACAGGTATGAGCAATGTGCATAGGAGCGCAGAGGTCAAGGGGACTTTCTGCCACTTTCCACTTTCCCCTGCTAAGACAGGATCTCTCACACAATCTGGAACTCACTGATTTTTTGTTTGTTCTGGACTAGGCCTCTGGCCAGTAATCTCCAGTGATCTTGTCTCCGTTGTCCCTCTCCCCCCCTGTGCTGGGATTAAAGGCTATGGCCAGTGTTTTATGTGTGTGCCAGGGAACTCAGGTCCTCATGTATGCCCAGCGAGTGCTCCTACCCCCTGAGCCATCCCTCAGCCCCTGTGATTCTCCATAGTACAGGGTGGTACTGGCTAATGACTTCCAGGAACTATGACAGCAGACAGAAAGAAACACCCGTTTCTAAATGCATGTGTGAGAGCTTGATGGTACCATCTGGAAGAAACAAACACCCTCAGTGAGGCTAAAAGCGACCCTCACTCTTTCTCTCTACCAGAGTCCTCTTCGAGTCAGAAGTATGGCAAGACATCCTCAAGGGTGGACAACCCAACAAAGCTAAGGCTGTCCAGTGCATCTCGGTTGTGAGTCACCAGTTTTCCATGCAGAATTTATATGCATTAAAAAAAAAAGATTCCCTGGCACTTACTATTCTTTTATTGTAAGATGTTATGAAGGTCACATATAACCACCATCTTCTAGATTTTTCAATTGATCAGAGTCAACTGATATTCTTTTCATTTTTTAAAACATGCCCTTTCTTTGTGGTCCAGGCCCGCCGCAAACTCTGGCTCCTTTGTTGAAGCCGCCTTGGATTGGGTTTATAGGCATGCCTGGCTAACTGACTTTCTTTCACTTCTGACTTTCAGACCCAATGTAAGTCTATTGAACCAGAATTTTGGAGCAAAAGGTCCATGCAATTTATATTACAAATAACCTTACGGTTTTAGACACTGATAGAGTTGGTAGAGTTATCAGAAGCAAGGCAGAGTATCTTCTTAAAATGTTTATTTTTACCATCTTATTTCATATTCATTTTTATTAACATCTAAAAAAATCACACATGTTTATGGGAGTATAAAATTTTAGTTTCCAAGATAAATAAATTCTGAAGATCTGTTGCAGATGAGTAACTATAGTTGATGATACTGTATTGTATAATTAAGCGTTTGTTTAAAAGAGCATTTAACATATTAAGAGCACCTTAAAAATTCTTACCATAACTTAAAAACATCCTAATAGCTTGGGGTAATTTGGCAGAAATCCAATCACAAACCTAGTTGGATGTGGTTTCATTACTGACTTGTGTAGATGCCTTGTTGCCCTTTGCAGAGTAAGGATAGAAGCAGAGTGTATATTACTTCATAGCCATAAAGAGACACACAGACTTGCACATTTTATTTAGAATGAAGCCAGTGTGGGAAAGAGAAGAAGAAGAAGAAGAAGAAGAAGAAGAAGAAGAAGAAGAAGAAGAAGAAGAAGAAGAAGA